ATTCCAGTAAAGTGACAATATGAAAGTTACATATAGCCTCCCTCTGCTGTGACCCCTGTTGCAAAATATACATAAATCAATATAAACTTGAGGCAGCATTGGGCTTGATTATGATTAAACTTTCAGGACAACTTCCAGCATGAAGTGCAACTAGTTAGTTAGATGTATTTATCATTAAAATCAGAACACTTGTATGTTCATTTCACTTTCTAGGTGAAAACAAATTGAAAAACATATCCAACCAGATTACAGGGTTGTCACTGGATCATAAAACTTTGTACTATGGGAACAGCAGGCACTCCCAGATTAAGTTTTATTGTTTTGATCCATAGTAAAGCTCTCCTTCCTGTCTCTAACAATCAGTTTCAACGCCAAACTCCACACAGCACTTTCTACTGCAACAGTGTGAAAAACCTGACAGAAATTTCCTTCTGGTGCAGAACCACTGATGGTAGAACCCTTGTATCTACCATTGCATTAGAATTGCTTTGATACTCTGGAGAGGATTTTAACTACAAGATGCGAATGGGTGTGCATGGCTGTAGGTGAGGGTTTAAAAAGGGGAAAATATCAACATGATCGTTCTGACTTCCACATTTAACCGGTGCCATTTCATGGTGCATGGGAGACCCCTTTGCAATGGGTCAGTGACTTAATATGAAACCTCTTCAGCAATTAAAGTATGGAAATTGCATCCTGGTGTCATGTGATTTTTGACTTTGTCCACCCCAGTCCAACACTGGCACCTCCACACTATTCATGTAAAATTCTCTTATTTCTCTATCCATTTAAAGTGAAAGCTGCTCTTTACTTCATGTTAGCAACCTTGAAAATGTCCAAAATGTCCCTTGCAGTTGCAACAGTGTTTCATATTTCAGTCGATAAAAATTCCCTGAATAACGATTGGCAAATAACTGGAGAAGATATTACTAATCATTTTTAGGAAACGTTTTTACAATCTCACTCCAACTTAACTGAAAATCTATTATGAGTGTGCATTCTGTAGAACTGTATCAAATGATTTAGACAACCTCAGCCAACAAATCTACAAGTCATGAGCCAACAGCACTGAATCACCCCGAATGTGGTATTGATTTAAAATGTCAGTTAAAACACAGAACATAGAACAGTACAGCCCATGGTGTTGTGCCAAGTATGACACTAAGTTAACTCTTACTGCCATATTGTGTATGGGACCAGGCTGGCATATTCTGGTGCTCTTTTCTCCACTGCTGGTCCTGGGGAAAGAGGAAATCCTAAAGTACTTAAGAAAGTGTCCCTAGGAATAGTGGATGCATTGGTGGTCATCTTCCAAAGATTCTTTAGATTCTGAAACAGTTTGTACAGATTGGAGGGTAGCTAATATAATCCCACTACTTAAAAAGAGAGGTAGAGAGAAAACGAAGAATTCTCGACCAGTCAGTCTGACATTACTAGTGGGCAAGGTGCTAGAGTACATTACCAAGTTTTTTTTAATTGACGAGGATTTAAAAAACAGTGACAGAATCAGACACAGTCAGCATCGGTTTACAAAAAGAAAACAATCCTTGACCAATCTAATGAAATTCTTTGAGCTGTAACTAGTAGAGTTGTTTGGGGGAGCCAGTAGATGTGGGGTGCTTGGATGTTGAGAAGAGTTTTGACAAAATCCCACATTAAAGATTAAAATGTAAAATTAAAGTGCATGTGGTTGGGGAAAGTGTATTGAGTTGATAACAAAAATGGTTAGCAGGCAAGAAACAAAAAATCAGAATAAATGGGTTTTTTTTGATTGGTAGTGACTAGTGAGGTACTGCAGGATTGGTACTCGGACCCTATCTATTCGCAATATATATTAATGACTTAGATAAGGGAACTAAATGTAATATCTCAAAGTTTGCAGATGACACAAAGCTGGGTGGAAGGGTGAGCTGTGAGGAGGATGCAGAAATGTTGCAGTGTGATTTGAACAGGCTGAGTGTTGAGCAGATGCATAGTAGATATGGTATAATGGAGATAAATGTGCAGATATGACTTTGGTTGCAGAAATAGGAAGGCAGATTATTATTTGAATGGCTGTAAATTGAGAGAGGGGAATGTTCAATGAGAGCAGTGTCTTTGTATGGAATGCACAGGTGCAGCAGGCAGTAAAGAAGGTTGTATATTGGCCTTCATTATGACAGGATTCAGGAACAAGGATATCTTGCTGCATTTCTACAGGATATTGGTGAAACCATGTCTGGAATATTATGTGCAGTTTGGTCTCCTTATTTGAGGAAGGGTGTTCTTGCTAGAGAAGGAATGCAGCAACAGTTTACTAAATTGACTTGTGGGGTGGTGGGACTGCTGTATGAGGAGAGATTGAGACAGTTAGGATTGTATTCAATGGAGTTTAGAAGAATGAGGGGGGAATCTCATAGAAACCTATAAAATTCTAACAGAACTAATGGGTGTTGAAATATAGAATCTGCTGCCTGAGAGGTGGTGAAGACAGGTACTCTCACAACTTTTAAGAAGCATCTGGACAAGCACTTAAAAATAGCAGGGCATGGTAGACTATTGACCAAGTGCAGGTAAATGGGATTAGTATAGTTTTGAGATAGTAAGAACTGCATATGCTGGAGTCAGAGATAACACAATGTGGAGCTGGAGGAATGCAGCAGGCCAGGCAGCATCAGAGGAACAGGAAAGTTGACGTTTCGAGTCGGGGCCCTTTTTCAGAAAATGAGAAGAAGGATCCTGAGCCGAAACGTCAACTTTCCTGTTCCTCTGATGCTGCCTGGCCTGCTGTGTTCTTCCAGCTCCACACTTTGTTATCTTAATACAGTTTTATGTTTGTTGGTTGGCATAGACACATGCACAGACACAGCAAATCAGAGCACTGATATCTCCAAGTTTGCTGTGTCTAGGGCAAATGTCAGAAACTCCGAAAGGCAGCTGTGGGCTGACAGCACTTGTCCACGTGCACAACTGGCTTTTAAAGACAGCACGGGCTCAAGCGACACAAGTTAATTCTGGGATATCCATGCAGTGGCAGGTTGTTCTGGGAACGGCAGGTGGTAGGATGGGGCTGGAATCAGATACAAGGGATGCTATAGGGGCAAGGTAAGTAATTATTGAGGCAAGTTAGGTAAGATATGACAAGAAAACTCATTAGGCCTCATGGTAGAAAAACCCTCCAAAGATCTCAATGCAAATTTTCTCTTTGCCAAAAAAAACATAACATTTAGCTTAGAGTTTCTGCTAGTGTGATAACAAGGTGCGTTACAAATGTTATAATGCTCGTTCCTGAATTGAATCCATACCTGATTACATGACCTAAACTGAATTGATTTCCACTACCTGAAGATGATAAAAATTGGTCAGGAATGTGAAGAGAGCGTTGGAAATTAGGCTGGCACCCAGATATGGAGGGCTGAAGGCCCTGCACAGTGGTTACAGCATATTTTGGAACAAGTGGGACCTCTGTGACCAATAAACAAGCCTATTAGCATAATAGAGGTCATGTGTGACCAATGTCAGGGATCATCAGTTTGCCACCTATCAGAACAATCCACCATGGGGCTGACAGGATACACCGCATAAAACCAGGTGTCCCCACCATTTGAAAAGAAGAACAGGGTCCGTCTGGAGGACCTGCTGGGTTGTGGTCTGAAGAGAAGATCAGGATTGTTTTCAAATCTTTGCCATAGTGATACTTCGAAGAGGTCTCCAGCAACGTTTGTCCTGTCAATCTTCTATTGCACTTTCGGATCTATCTTCATGGAGAAAGTTCCCAGCAGGTTACTAATGGTGCTGGTGCAGCCAGAACTAAATTAATAAAGAGCCTCCCACTGAGACCATGTAATTTGGTGGAATCAAAGACAGAAGCTGCTCCTTTGTATTGTCAGCCACAAATTTCGTCATCATAAAGTTGCTTTAAAAGGACAAACTACATGTAGGGAAAGAGGTGTTTGAACTGCTGAACTCTGATTTTCAATGAAATGCTATTTACACTACACAAGTCTTGTTTAAATTTCGTACAATGTTAATCTCATTAAACAATTGCAACAATTGATACCTTTGGACATGTTGATGCTGTGATCTATCTCCCAACAGATCAGACTTCCTCCAAAAACTTGCCATGATGCTATTTATTGTATACAAACATTAGGAAATGGAGTGTACATTTTGGCAATTGCTTCGGAGGATCAGCATTCACCAGTCAAGATTCACTAGTATTCAGGTATCCCGACTGTCCCATCATGCAATTTTTACCATTATGTCTAACATATTTTTAATAAATCGATCAAGGTTTACAAAATTTGTTTGAAAACAAAAGAAATAATTTGCTGCCAGACAATGTGTAACTTTGCATTCCAGTCAATGCTTGCAAGCCTGAGTGTGACAATACATGGTTCTCTGAAATGTTTACTGTGATTGGAATATGCTTTATCAAAACCTGTTACAATACAAAGTCTGTTCAGAACAGCATAGAAAAGAAAACTCCTGAGACCAGTTATTGATCTATCAGATTTCAGATACATTCTTTAAAGCTCCTAAAAAAAAGTCAGCTCCACTAAATCAAGAAGAAAACTTAGAAAATTTGATTTAACAGACCTACAGCATCACGTAAAGGAGTAAATTTTAAGCAATATAAAAGCATTGGTTTCTATAAACAAAGCGCATTCTGAAGTTGCTTGTTTTTGTTTGCCTGCATAGGTCTACAACATTTAACTTAGCAAATAGGTTGCACCACTTTTTAAAATATTTAATTGGAATTGAATGACTCCATTTCCTAAGGAGTTATTGGAAACATTTTAATATCTCCCAGAAGGTATTACTTTCTCTTTCTAAATTACAATGATTGCTTAAATATTAACTTTCACAAATAAATTCATAAGAAGAATAATATTCCCTTCTAAATGTACAATGTAAATTTTAATTATTTTAGCTGCAGTCTAAATATTTTCTGGTCAGCCTGTTCAGAGATGTTATAACACATCGCTGGAGCAGATGGGATTATCAACCCAAGCCTGGCTTTAGAGGTTAGGGACATTACCACTCTGCGCAAGCTCCTCACCTTGTCTGATGGACACCAGGCGGCCATTTGAAGCTTGTAAAACCACTTGAGGATGACTCTGCTCCAAATCAAAGAGGTCATCTTTGCCAGGCTTGGAATTTCTTCCAGATCTTAGAGTACCAGTTGGCCCTATTGCACTCAAATATTTTCCTTCATGATCCTTGAAAGCGATCTTCCCAGCTTTAAATTCCAGGGTGTAGCCAGTGCCCTGATCACGCTTCTTAATCAGCTTTCCATCATTTCTGAGAAACCTATTGTCACAAGTCTGGATGCTGTACTTCTTCTCTTGGTAGATCAAGGTGATGAGAGCATCCACACCCCAAGGAATGTTGCTGTCAGCTGACAGCTCACCTTCTTGGGCTGACAGATGGGCGTACCTTTTGCGACTGACACTTAGAAGGTTGGCTTGAGGGTGGCTGGCCAGGTGGATGGACCAAAGTTCGGACTCGGTGATGGTCTGTGCAAAGCATGAGAGATGGTCTTCAGACCCACCAAAGTACCGCTTGTGGGGTTCAGACTGTAGAGTCCATCTGCCATCGGCATGTGCAATAACCGTGAATCTGCAGTCATTGTCAGGTTTCTCTGCCTCACAAGACACATTGCCATCCTTATTAGCCAACAGATAACGGCCAAGGTGGCTCTTGAAAAATACCACTGAGTTGTTCCCTTCATCCTGTTCCAGCATCCAGATTTGCTTCTTTTTCAGACTGATGCCAGATGCATTGACTTTGAAACCAAAAGCCTCTGCTGTCAGGTACTTATTGCTACAATTGATTAAGCCAAACTGGATCCTTAAAGCTTGGTGGGTCCCGTTTGTGGGCATTTCTGTTCTTTCAGGTTAATTTCCTTTTCGCTGTAAAATGTTTCTTTTGCAATAAGTTTGAACTGGAAGCAACAGAGGCACTTTTTTTTTTGGATCTGCTCCGGACAGATTTGAAGTGGACCAAATATCTAAAACACCTAAATCCGAGAGGAACAGTCACTGACGTCAGCGTCAATGCTCCAGTTCCCTAACCTCTTTGCTCACCTACACAATGCTTTGGTAAATCCTTTAATTGCAATCATCTGGAGGTACCTCAGAAAATAATTTTCATGTTTTGAAGACTTCGTACTTCAGATTGGCTTTTGTACACGTCCAGTTTCTTATTTGTACTTGTCGCAGATGCTGCAGTCTGCTCTAATTGTTCATGCCATGGATTATGGGCTCAGAGATTTTAATAAACTGCCAGTGCTTTGTAATTAATAGCAGAACTTGCTGGTGCAACAAAAGGAGTTTTATGTGGAACAGTGGTCCTTTTGTGTGTTTCCTTTCCTTCCGTGTGTTTCCTTTCCTTCCGTCCTGTTCCAGTGGACACGTTTCTTCAAATGTAGTTGATAGGTTGTAAAGTCCTTTCTTCTATTTTATTTTTCAGTTCATTTTTGTACACCAGCGTGTCCAGCCTCTCAGATACATCCCTCTGCTTAGCTAACCAGCTACCTGTCGCTCTGAATTCTCGTGCGATATTTCAGATGAAAAAAAACAGGTGACATATGATACCCTTCCGTGCAAGTGGGTTGTCGAGGTGTCCTCTTTCTTTTTGCGGGAGTGTAAAGTTACTCTGTTCTCTGATTCCTTCTCCCCCAGTCGCCTACAGCCTTCTCCAGTTTTACAGTTTAATCCTCTTTACCTTTATCCCAGGGCCTCTACTTCTCGTTTTTAATCCTTTGATCCTGTCTTATTCCAAAATATCTTCCTCCATCTGCACTAACTGCTTCTACCTTTAGTTGTTCATTTCCCTGGTAAAGGGAAGATACATTACAAAAAAAAAGCATGGAAGATTAACTCACAGATATATAATAAACAGTCAATTCAAGAACTTGGCAGAATACGCCCTATATATCACTGCCGTTCCTAGCTAATATCTGAAATTCTAATTTACATGCACATCAAAGTATTCTAAGAAACTTCAAAATTCTGCCTGTGAACAAAGACTGACAGACACCAAGCAGACTCTGACACAAAAACAACTGCATATTTATGGCAAGTTATGAATGTTATACACATATCAATTGCCTCTTCTCTGGGTTCAGCTCCAAACTATTAACAAACACTGAAAAAAATTTAAGCTCCAAACAAAAGTTTTATTGTTTAAGTTCCAAGGGTGGATTTTGCATAAATTCATAATATTCACGATTAGCAGAAACATTATTTTTGTTCTAGCTTATGGTCGTAAGTATGGTGATATTTTGAGTTACAAAGGGTGCTGTATACATCTAGTTTTCTTTCAGTTTCATTGTGATGGAATCATTCTATCTCATTCTTAGATCACCAACGTGCACCATTGAACAGCCTTGTGAGATCACCTATTGATTTGAAAACAAAAGGAAGTGAGACGTTTTGAAGAGAGACACAAATGATAGACAGTAATGGAGAAACACAAGTGCATTCCAAAGATTAGAAAGGGAGAGGAAGATACTTTATTGCATTAGTCACAAATGACTCAACACATGCTGAATATCACTGATTGACATCTATCTACAGATTTTCAATTTACTTGTCTCCCAATCTTGTGACATAAATAGTAAAAAGTTCATTTTCCATATCTGTAGTTCCAGGTTCTAACCTCTATTATAACGAATGCTTTAGTCTGACAGCTTTTATAAAGATGAATTTTATCAGTCCTCAAACTGGCTCGTGGTTGAGGCACTTTATAATAAAGAAGATACTCCGTTTCTGTGGTGGTGGAGGTAGTGAGGATACATGACGTTCCACCTATATGGCAATGTTAATCAGTTACTGCTGTTTGAGTAATTTAGCTCTCTCATTTTAAATGGAACACTCCCTTCAGAGGACTGTGGTAAAATTTTGACAAGTTCCTTCTTTAAAATGCAATCTTTATTTTTTCATTACATTTACTTTTGCGTCTTAATTCATGGAACTTTCAGTGCTGTAAATTTTTATTTTATATGTCGTACTTGTACTTTTAATCACATTCAACCTGGTAATCCTGGCATGTGTGCACATTGTGATGCATTCTGAGCTGAGTGCCATTTTAGGTGGGGACAGTACTGTTGGCACTAGGAGTCTGCAGCGTAAGTGGGCAGAGGAGGCAGATTGTGATGTCAGTCAATGTGTAATGCTGATTTGACTGAAGTGGTGTCAGTTTCAAACTGTACGCTCAAGTTCTTCCTTAACTTTACACAGCTGAACATGCATTCAGCAGCAAGAAGGATTTCCTGGTCACAGATATTGAGACAACAGTCTGGCCATTAAAGAGGACTCAGCCCAGTTTAAAACTGTGGAGCATTTAGGATTGTGAAAAGTGTCTTATAAATAAATGCAAGTTCTAGCAGCTCAGTCAGAACAGTTTATGGATCAAATAAAGAGCCTTCATTTTACTGTTGATTATCCCTTGGTAAAATTCATATTACTAACATTGGCACTTGACAAAATTACCATTTAAAATAAAACTCAAGCCGACTCACTCATTCTGTGACAAGGACTGCAGGGGATCATTTTGACTGTCAATGGCTGGTCTCCTGGAGGAATGGCTCACCCATACATCTCTTTAAGTTGTGCAGAATATGTTTGCTAGTACAGCAAATAAATGAAAGAAAATGGACAGAATTTTTCACTCCACATGCAATAAGGAAGTTGGAAAAATACAGCAAAAATGAAAAATTCAACATCACGAACAAAAAACTCATATTTTCCAGTAAATTTAAATAGGAAGTTCAGGACCTTGCTAATAAGTGGCAACTACCTTATTTTCATGTGCTTGTATCTCATTATTAGATAAACTCCCCTCATTTCTACACAGCTCTCAATTCCCCTCCTCCGAGAAACTAGATGGTACAGATTCCTGACATGTAAGTTGGAGTGGTAACCAACTGACAGTAGCTTGCTGCTAGCTTCTCTGGGCTTTTGTCCAACTCTGTCTTGACCACAGTGTCCCTGCATGTACCATTGAGACATCTCTTTGCATCCTTCATCCATGTAAGTTGGCATCGGCAAACCATCAGCCTCATTACATCATCATGCGTGTTCTCAGACCAACTCACACATCACTTCAGCCCTTCATTTGCATGCTTTGGCCAGCTTTATATGCATGCAGAGACACACACATATTTCATGCATCTACACAGGATACAATTATGGTTCTTAGCTTCATTTCTTAGAGTTTATTTGCTTTGTGCTTACTTAGAGGCTGCCAACGTCTATGGCTTGCATTGTTTTTAGCACAGACAGTGAGGCAACAGCTTGTCATGGCTCCTACCACTGAACAGTTAGGGGGATGGTCATGTTGCTGCACAGCACCATGCTACCGTCGAAGTCAAACCTACAGCTTGTACCAGCAGTTCATGTGGAAAACCTACTGCATGTGCTTCAGCCAAATGGCAATGTGCGGAATGCAAAGGAAAACAGTCCTTAATAGGGTCAAGGGGGACTACGGTCAATCAGAGGGAAGCACCACAGTCAGTCCAGAGGCTCATTCAATTCCAATCCATGGGTTTTGCCACAGTCAATCCTGCATGCCAAGTATGGAGACATATTTGGGGGATGGGCCAAATCTTTCTGCAATGAGACAAGGACCAGGACTGAATATGATGACAGTGGATGGAATAATGGGTTAGTGGTGATGCATGAGGAGAAGTGGTGAAGTGCCTCTAATGAGTTCAGGAAATACTGAGGGGAGGAAGGGTTAGTGATGTGGGAGGATGAGGTGGGTGGGAGCTGTTGAGCAACCATAGTGAATGAGAGCTGCAGTCCATAAGCCCAGGTGAAAGACATGTGTAGTAGCAGATTTGCGAGTAAGCAATGGCAAACAAGTGATGAGTAGCAGCAAGAAAATGGTGGCACATACCCTTCCAGAGCACAAATAATCATTGACCTTCTTCCTGCACTAATGGACATGTCTTTCAATCTGGGACACTGCACTAACCAGGCCACGATCTCACTCCAGCTTGGTTGAATCAAGTGGTGTGGCCTCCTATGGCAGCCAGCTGTAAAGGATGACTGTCCCCTCCACCACCACATGCATCAGCGCCTCCAGATGCCTGTGCTGGGGTGGACTGCCAGTTTCCCCTTCAGGGCTATGTCCACAGTACTAACAGTAAAGCACCAGAGTGTCAGGGGCTATCATGCTTGCAGTGCCTTAAGAGTTGTACAACTGGGCTTTAACTATACCACCAGCAGCACAAACGTTGTAAAGTCCTGGTGAGCACTTCCATCTCTCCTGTTGCATGAGATAAATGCAGAAGAGGTCAGTTGCATAATTCATGTGAGAAAGAGTGGAAGATTACATGAAAAAGGTTGACACTGTCCACGGCAGCCCAGGTGCCACGAATCTCGCTTGAAAAAGCTGCAGAGAAATGGGAAATTTCCACTCAATATTTTAGTCAAAGTCTTTTCCTCCTTGTACAATTGAATATGATTCAGATAAGTAATGATTTACTAGATATCATTTTACAAAATAATACTTGATGTCTTTTAGTCTATTTGAAGAGGAGTTCAATCCAAAATTCAATTGAACCATGGCAGCTTCCTCTGGGACGTTGAGTTGAATCCATCTAAAACATACATGTTGTGAATGCTGTTTTGCTGTTTTTATTTTACAATTTGTCTTCTCTGCCCTCCACTTCCCTGACCTACTGCATGTAGTTACAAAAGTGTCAGCAGCCCAGTGCTGTAGAAGAGATACCTCATAGTAAAACAGAGATAGTGCACAGCTTTAGATTGGGTCCATGAGCTGGATGTCTGTTAATGCTAATACATGAGATGATTTGCAACCATTTATTCTCAAGATCACTCCAAGTATTTAATCATTCACTTGTTAGACATTT